CTCCAACCCTAATAGCGATGGCCTCCAACCTACTAGCGATGGCCTCCCCCTACTTAGAAGGGGCAAAGGCGGCAATTGATTTTAGGTCAAGTCAAATCTGTGGACTCGCACAAGGTGGACCAAGGTGTCCCCAACAGGGTGGACGAAGCTGTCCCTTGAAAACCTTAACACAACATATAGATCCAACCCTCGAGCCTTCGAGTTTGCATCAGTGACTTACACAAATTGCAGTGTCATACGGACCGGAACTCTGAATTCTGCCTCTGGGACGCCATTGGTTTTGCTTCTTAGTACCAGCCGCAAAAGCGAGTCCTCAGGTGGAACCGAGTGAATATTGAAAATTAAAATAGACATTTAAATACGAAAGGGGTTACGTCTTCTACTGTCTCTCAAGCACTTGGCAACATAGGCCAACTTTCAGAAAGGAAGCAGGCTTCGAAAAGAATCATCTGTTAAGACATGTTAAGAGAATCCCTCAACTTCGGCCACACCTTGATGTCGACCTCCATCTTGTTGGCGGTGTTGTCGATGCCCATGAGCTTTCCTCGCAACAAGGGGCGGCTTCAAAGTCGCTGGTTTTGGCATCAGGGAGGTTGAGTTTTCTGGTCGGCTGATGTAGGTGTCCAAGGCTTCCCCTGCAGTCCCTTCTCCAGGGCCGCAAGAAGATGCGGCCAGGCATCGTTGGAGCTGGTTTGCTACAACCTCGATCAGACAGGTCTACAGGCTGTCTAAATCTCTGCTGGTTCAGAGCGGCTCGTCCGACGTTGAGCAACCACTTCGAGAACGAAAATCAGTGGGCTAGTAGGCGTAAAGCATGGGCGGTGAATAAGCTCTCAAATTAAGCAGTTGACATGCTCATTGGGCGTACAAGGACTCTGAGCAGCCCCGGTCTTTGGATCTGGCAAAGTGGATTGTCGCAGCATTGCAGTCGCTTATGTGCAGCCACGGAACATTCTCCAAGAATATCGCCATGATCAAATTGAACACCCCCAAACATACCAGCATGAACATACACACGTAGCTTACCTGGGTAAGCAAGTGTCATCAAGCTATGCTATACAGATTGTAGTGTCCTGGCACAAATTTGAAGTCTTCTAATTACCGAAGTGTGCATCTTGTTTCTCTGATGAAGACTCTCCCATTGGTATTTGCATGTAATTATTTGCTCTTTGCCTCCATGTTGCAACCAGTAAAACGCCGTACTTTGGCCGCATGCGCTCCATAAGGGGCTTGCCGTCATAGGACTCGCAGCCATCTGTGAAGCAACGGAAAAGGGTGAACATCGCGGCAGGCACCTGGCCGGGACAGCTCTATGCACAGGGCTGTCAAGCCATGTCAAAAACCATGTCGGATCCTACTTGGCCCCGTGAAGATGGAACAACAAAAAATTGCCTGTTGGCAGCCTGTTGGTGAAAAAGGTGGAATATTGGATTGTAGGCGTGATGTCAGTTGACTTGTCTACAAAGCCGAACTAGTCCAAGAGTGCGAAAGGATGGTTTTGCTACCAATGACTGCCCAAGGACTGGAAAATGCAAAGTTTAGCAAGTTGAATGCTCTTTGTGCTGACTGAGACAAACATGTCATCGTGTATAGTTCCTTGTATTTGATTAAAGTGAGACAGTGTGAGCTGCGGACACGGAACTGTCTCAAATTCTGGCTCTTCTTGACCAAAAACATTTTTTGCAGCCACCCCAGTTGTATATATAATGACCTGCAGATGGCTGACAGCGTCGTGAGCTTTACACAGGAAAAAGCAATTGTGAGGATAGCAACAAGGCACAGATTAGCCACAGAGGCATCCAGCGCAAGCAAGAGAGATAGAGAGAGAGAGAGAAAGAAAGAGCTAAAGGAACTAATTAATAGCTAACTACTAACTACCTAATAGCAATGGCCTCCAACCTACTAGCGATGGCCTGCAACCTAAGAGCGATGGCCTCCAACCTACTAGCCATGGCCTCCAACCTAATAGCGATGGCCTCCACCCTAGAAGCGATGCCCTCCAAACCACCGCAGAAACCAACAAACTTGCACAGAACAGCTAGATGATGACCCTCCACCAAGCCGCCAGCAGCAAAACCATTGCCCAAATCAAGACCCTCATGCCACTCACCACCTGGGTTGAGGAACCAACGCCGCAAGGCAAGTAAAAACAATATGTTTTTGAGTTACTAATAGGAATGGCCTCCAACCTAACTGCGATGGCCTCCAACCTAACAATCAAAGAAGCAGCTGAGGCCAAAACTCCTAGGACCATCATCTTCAACTCGTAGAAAATCTCGAAACGCAGTGTCCGCACCAGCCGGACCAAGCGGGTCAGCCGTAGCATGCGGATGAACCTCGACATGATAAATTTGTGGACACCGGTTCATCCAGGAGTATAGGCATCCACGTATTCAAATGGATTGACTGTTGTTGATGCCTGAATGCAAGTCTGGGCAATTGAGGCATCCACACCATAGTGTTCAGATCCACTGACTGGCCGTTGTTAACTGCTGTCAATATCCACGTGATCCTGATCTTCACATGTTTGACGGAATGGTGGTTGTACGACCAAAAGAACAGTCACCGAGGCCAAGAGGCAGTTGGGTCGAGCGCTTCCCAAGATTTGATGCAGGGAAACGATTCATGTAATTGATGCATGTGGTCTAGTTCGGACGTGTCCCTCGTGTTTCGCATCGACTCGGCTTTCGACGAGGTATCAAAATGGGTGTTAAAGGACTGGATCAAAAGCCAAATTACGCCGAGTGGCACTTCCTCTACCCAAGACAGCGCTAGGCAGAACACGTCAAAATAGTTCCAGGCCCACCTCAAAAAGCATTGAAAGCATTGATAGGAGGAAAAGGAATTAGAAACACAAAACTCATGAGGCGACTTTAATACCACAACATGGTGGTCCTGCATTGCCTATGCAGAATCCTGAAACCGTGAAGCAGAACCCAGGATTGACTAGTTGTTAAACAACAGGGGAGGGAATCTTCACCCTGTTGCTTTGAGAGGGTCTACATATGTGTTTATTTGTTCTTTCTTCGCTCCTTTTCTTGCTTCACGATCCGGCCGTTTTGGCCCGAAAACAGCTTGGCAGCTGTTGTTGCGTGGATGCATCCGCGCATCTGCTTTTCAAATCTTTGCTGGCTTGGAAGTTGTCGCCCTTGGTCAAAGCTTGCGCCTTGCACCTGCTGCAGTAGACTTTGCGGCCCGTCCTCCACATCTGATGAGTGGAGTGGCCGTTCCACTTGTCATCTGGCAGCCATTCTTCATGCCAACATTTGGTCATGGCTAGGGCTTCGAGCTTTTCCTTTGAGGAATGCTTGAGCTGCCGGCCATTGCATCTCTGACACACAACGTAGTAGGTGTCAAGTGCTCGCCCATGGAGGGCAGCTGACCACTGACCATGCTGGCGAGAAAGTCAGACTTGGAACTGACCTCCTTGGAATCAGAGTGTGCACCCCGAATCAGCGGAACTGTGATCGGAGATGGGCAGGCCTCTGCTGCTGCACTCTGGATCTCGGTGACCTTGTTGTGCATGGTGAGCCTCTTTTTGCATTGGCTGCACTGGATGCTGCGTCCCTTGTGCTCCCATTGGTGTCCCACAGGGTTGGTCTGTGGAATCAGACCCTGAAAGAGCGCCTTTTTGTGTTCTCTGGCTTGCTGTCCGACTTGTTTGCCGCTCTCTCTGGCCGTGTTCAGGAAATGTGTCGTCTCTTTAAGCAAAAACTGCACTCGTTGCACCACCAAAGGTGCAATGCGCCTGTACTTTTTGTCCTGCTCTTGGAGAATCTGTTCTTGCTCTATGGGTTGCATGGAAAGAGCCACTTCCTGCGCTGCCTTCTTTGCGTCTGCCATTCTGTTCCGCAAGGACCATTCTGTTTTCGGCGTGTCTTTGAGCTGGTCAGTCGTGATGGCCAGCACTTTATGCGGGCCCTCTGGTCCAGCGAGATGAGGTTCTGCATGTCAAAGAAAACATCTTTGTGTTTGTGTTGCGTCCAGGCTTCATGCGCACGGGTCGAACTAACATGTACCACCAGTGGCGTTTGCAAGTCCACGTAATGGGCCACCGTTCTGATTCCGTAGAACCATGCACGTTCCCAGCTCTGTCGGCCTGGCAACACTGTGATGACAGCTCCTTGGCGATAAAGTTGGCCTCCAAGTTGGACATGGTGCACGATGGCACAACGAAGTGGCGGACTCGTACATCTTTGGATGTCGTGGAGATGCCTATCGTCACCACCTCCTGTCTCTTGAGCTGCAATTCATCATGTGTGGTCCAGGAGCCCCAGGCCTGAACCGCCGCACCACCTGTCGAGACCTGGTGGTCTGGAAGTTGTAGGAGTCCTTGTGACCAGAACTCTAAGTTCACTCCAGGTTCTAACTCAAAGAGGTCCTCTGCCGCCATCTTGGGGAACCTTTTGTTCGTCTCCTTGCAAAGCCAGAGGACGTGCACTGAAGTTGCCAACTGTCCGCAGTGGGGACATTTCAAACGCTGCTCCCCGTCGGCAACTTTGGTGAAAATTGCCCCTTGATGCCAGGTCATGAGCGCTACAGCACTGCGGTGGTTGAGTTGCTTGCTCTGCCTTTGCCATGGTAGCCAGTCTAGCGGTCTCTGAACCTCCTGTAGAAGAGATCGTTGGCTGATGGCGAAAATGCGGCCTGCTGCTTCCGCTCTCTTCAGCTCGTCTTTGATTGCCAACCAGGAAGAATGCATGTCCAGCTTGAAGTCCTCCTGCCCGTTGTAGCCTGGTTTGGTCCAGACTGCCGGGTTGTCGCCAGTCCATCCTTTTTCTTGAAGGTAGCATTGCAAGGCTGCAACAGGGCCTTTGGAAACCTGCCAGGGATATTTGGCCTGTTGAAGCCGTTCTGCATGGACGTGCCAGGCCTTCTCCAAATCTCTCCCAAGGTGTTCCGGCCAAGCGCCAAAGAACTTGTGAAAGGACTTGATCTGGTCGATGAAGGCCCCATAGTCAGGGTCTTGGTGTCTCTTGAACATATCGAAGAGGATGTCCAAGTTTCCCGTCCTTTGCAATCCCATTTGCCGCCCCATTGTAGCCCGCAGCCTTTTGCGGACCTGTGCCCATGCTCTCGCGCCCCCAACTTATGCCAGCAACAACGCTGCCCTTATAGAGCTTGAGGCGAATGGAGCGGAGTGGTATCTTGAGGACCTGCAGCTTCTTTGTTTTCCTGCTTGCCTTCAAGCGGCGCTGCTTCATCGTTTGTATCCGTCTCAATCGCCCCGCCGCGCAATCAATGCCGAGATCCCTCATCACGTCATGCACACCAGGACCTTCTGGGGGACGTTGCTGTTGCAAAAGGGCTTTGGCCTTTGCATTGCTGACAACAAAACCAGTCTTCTTGGCCGAAATCACCAAATCATCTTCCTGCAGCAGCTTGGTGATGTGGTTGTATGCAGCAATGCCCCAGAGGTCCGTGTGGAGCTGTGGAAACTTCTTGTGGACATTCTTGAGGGCTGGCTGCAAGTATATCTTGGCCGCCAGAGGAGCTTGAGGATCTCCGGCAAGGATTCCGTTTTGTGCCCAGATCTGCTTGGACGCCTCACCTTCTGCTTCCAGGATGCGACCGCCTGCATAGACCTGGAGGGCCAGTGCTGCATGTACTGGTGGGTAATCCGAGTCCAACCATCTTTGGGCCAACTTCTCAAGGTTGATGCGGTCGTAGAAGTTTGACATGTCCATCAAAACTGAAACTACTGTCTTCTGCATAGCGCTGTTGTGTTCTGTCATGTAAGCTCTCTTTAGGGCCACTTGCAGGCATTGCTCTCTCCCAGAAATAGTCGTGCTGGATGTCCAACTGCCACTGTCTGGTGTATGGTGACCTGAGACGACACCATAGTCTGTACAATGTGGCAACCAATGCTATTGGATGCTATTGGTCTCTCAATCTCTGCGTTTTTCGGGATGAGGGCAATCAAGGAAACTGCCCATTGGTTGGGGATTGTTGCCTGAGCTTCAACCTCATGGAATAGCTCAATGAGGCTTCTCATTGCCTGGTAGGGAAGGGCCTTGAGAAAGTCGAATCCCACGCCATCTAAGCCCGGCGCTTTCTGTGACAGCAGTTTGATCGTTTTCCAAACATGCATGTCGGTCAAAGGCTTGAGGTCATTGGAATGTTGCCGGGCCTTCTGTTTCAAAGGCTCCAGGGCGCCTGGTGGTTGAGGTTCGTCTTGCTGCTTCCAAATGTTGCCCCATTGTTGTAATCTGCTGGCCATGCGTTCTGATCGAGGTTGTCCTTGGAATGGCCTTTGATATGGCATTTCATCCTTCTTTAGGGATCGGTACAGCCGTCGACAGCCTTTTCCTGCAGCCTTGCTCATCGATGTGCGGTAGATCTCTGTTTCCACTGCTAGGGATTCTGCACTGTGCAGCTCACGTTGTTCTTTGGCAAACTTGAGCAGGACCTGGAGGTGTTCTTCATCATGGTTTGTCCACAGCATGTTGAACAACATCCTGAAACCCTCCAGTGTGACTTTGGCCTCCCCATTCCAATGTTCGTCCAAGTGCCAGCCCAACTTCTGCAGGTGATGAAGCTTGCTTGTGTCCCATTGCGGTCTGTGGAGGTGTTGCTGGAGGCGGACTTCAATCTGTGCCCAAAAAGCTTGTCCCCCTTTCCTCCAAAGCCAGGGTTTGCTTGGGTCTGTCAAAGGCTTGGTGACATAGGTGAGCTGGGTGCCTCGTCCCAGCTTTGGGTTCTCCAGTTGTTGCAGAACATAGCGTTCTATCTTGCTGTACAAGCTGCCAGCCTTGTTGGTCAGCGGGTTCGATGCCATGTCAAGCCAACAGACCTCCGCGCTAACCTCTTGAACTTGTGTCCATTCACGAGTGATGTGCTCGAGCTTGGGCGCTGGATTGTATCTCTGGATCTGCTGCATCGCGATGTGTTCAACACTCCTGTTCAGCTTGCAGTGCAGTTGCGCATGCGGTCGAAATGGTACAATCCAATTGGCTTCAACGCTAAACTCTGCTGCAAGGTAGTCACTGGCCAGCGCCCAATCTAGCTCCCTGCCTGTGCTGCATGTGTCCTCTCCTGTTGCTACCACCTGTACCTTCGTGATGGAACTCATGGTGGTCGTCATGAACTCTTCTGGCATGACATTGAAGTCTCCAATGATGATGACAGGCTTTTGGAGGCCCGTGACAAAGGTTAGCAAGGCTGACCAGAGCATAGAGTTGGTTGCCCCCTGAATGCCTTCTCCACATTTGAAGTAAACAACCACCATCACCAGGTCCAGTGGACTGCGTACCATCCGCAGCCATCAATCACCTGTTTTTGGACAAAGTGGAAACGCTGGTCCAGCGGGTACAGCACGAGGAAGCCCCCGTTGGTACCCCCTTTTGGGCTGCTTGCCGCAGGGTGGCCAAGAACCCCCAATCCTCTAGTGGCGAACCATTGATGGACTTTTTGGAAATCCTCTTGAGCCAGGTGCGTCTCTACCACAAAAATGGGTCGGCATAGCAACCACTGACGGACTTCAGGTCCAAGGCTGGTCACATTGGCAAATGTGAATGGGATGACTGCTTGACATTGTCTCTTTGTTGGTCTTTCATCAGGGTGTTCAACTGCAACCGTAGGGAAGTCACAAGGAATGTCCTCCGGCAGCAAACACTTGGATGGAATGGCCCAAACCTGAACAATCTGCATCTTGAGTGCATCGTGAAGTTTGGGGATCGGTCGAGGAAAGGAACCATCATCAACAATCCAGTAAAGGCCCCTGTAGACATACACAGCAAAGTAATGTCCACTTTTGCATGCATCACCTGAATGACAAAGAAGTCCGATCAAGGAATACTGTTCCGTGCCAGTGGTGTTCCCATCTTTGGTGATGGGCAGGTTGAAGATGCTGGGGACCTGAAGGATTTGATGATGTTTAGTCCATTCGCCTTTGTCTAATCGGTAACGGCCAATCTGGCCAACCCAAAGTCCTTCTCCATCAAAGACTTGTCCTTCTGCTTGATTTGCCCAGACATTCAGCAATTGTTCAAAGTCTTGAGGTTCAGGAGTTTCCGGACAAACTAAATGAATGGGAAAAGCTGCTCTCCTGTGCACTTGTTGTCGGTGATCAACCTGGAAAAAGTGGCTGATCGTATTGTTCGTATCTGCCAGCTCATTGAGCTCGAGCAAAAACTGAGATGCATCATCTTGTACATTGTCATCAAAACGCTCCCAAAGAGGTCGTAGAGCCTTGAGGTGTGTGATCTGCACCACCTCATCATCCGTCAAGGTGGTCATGACAGCATCAGTAGTTTTGCACCACAACGCTGGTCCTCCCAGGAAGCTCCCCGCCCATGTCCATAGGCGGTAGGGTGAATTTGCATAGCACCGGTTTCTAGGGTTTCCCAACCGGTACTGGAGATTCTGCACCACATAGTCCAAAGGAGCCTGGACTTTGTGCTGCTTCTCGATCTCCTGCCCCAAAGAAATTGAGCCAGAATCGACATCCATGGCCTCTACCATGACGCTCCCAGCTCCCCCACAAAAAGGCGGAAAAGTTGTAAAGTTCTCTGTCTCTTGTCACAAAGTGAGAGAGTCCCCTGGTTCAAGAATGAGCCTGTCTCCCCTGCCCTTTCCTGTGAGCCAAAAGTTGCATGCAATGGTCTGCTCATGTTGGCCTTCCCCAGCTTGCACAAACAGTCCATTGATGCATCCCCTCCTGCATGCTGCGGGCATGTTGGGTTACCCGCACTTCCTTCTTTTCACGGCGTTCTCACTGAGCTTCGAAGCAAAGATTTGTACTTGCTCTGCAGTGGCGTGAACTCCTACATTGGACATAATGATCATGAGCTTTTCAGCTGTGATCTCGTCCGGATCGACATTTGCCTCCTCAGCTGCCTGCTTGTCTTGTTCCAACTGCTTGTTGTACTGGGTCGTATTGTCCTGCAACTCCTTTTGAGCTCCCTCAATCTTGGTCTGGAGTTCTTTGAGCTCTTGCAACAATGCTGAATACTGCTGTTTGACTCCATCTGCTTTGGCTTGTAGCGAAGCCTTCTTCTCCGTCAACTGCTTCAGGGTGCCAACAGATTGCTTCAGCTTAGTTGCTATGGTCGGCTCCTGCTTGGTGGGCTCCACAATCTTCTCAACTGCATCCTTGAGGTCTGAAGGTAAACTCGAAAGGTGCTCTTTCAACAAAGTTTGAAGGTCTGGTGGGGGTGGAGGTTCATTGGCCTGAAGTCCCATCGGCTTCACACTGAAAGCGTAGTCCCTCAGGTAGATTGCCCCAGTCCTGCACTGCTTTCTGTAGTGCAGTCTGTTTCACCTTTCACCTGCAAGACCTGGTGGTGCTTCCAGTAGGGCCTCTTTGTAGGATTTGGTAGGCCATCTGATCCTTGGTTCGTGAAGTTCCAAGAGGCCCATTGCACCTGCCTCTGAGTCTGCCTTCGTAGATCAGGAACCTGTTGTTGCCAGGCTCTCCCACATTGATTGCAGGAAGCCGTGGTTGGGCTTGCAACCGTTCCTGCCAAATCCAGCTGGTGCGGCAGCCCGCACAAACCAAATAGCCTTTCTTCATGCTTTGCACCTTCGTGTAGATGCCCTTGTCCTGCTTGAAGGGTCCTCCTCCTTGTTCTCCTTGATGTAGTGCAGGAGACCACTCAATGGCGGCTCCTATCTCACCTGACCCTGGCTTGAGGAGACAAATGGCTTGAGCCACATATGTGTTTATATATAATATACGTAATATATATATAGTTCTATAAATATGTATATTACATATATATATATATATATTTAAAAGGCCCCTGAAGAACATGGGAAAACATTCCACAACCCGAGGCTGAGAACTACCCTTATCTCCCTGTTTGGGACGATTGTGTTGGCAACTCAACTTTAGCTGCCAGCTGCTTGGCTTGGTTGCTGGCTTGAAGTTCGTGTCAACACATGCGAAGTGTGTTCCAAGGTGTGTTCCTGCCATTAATATCAAGGCTGTCGTGGCTGAATGAAACACATCCTATTCCTTGGAAAGAAACAACAAGCCTGGCGCAAGGGGCTGAAACAGGAGCACAAGTGCACGGATGGAGACAACGCTTCATTAGTCAGACTGGAGATGAAAACTAAGCTGTTGGGGTCACACAGCTTCAGGGCAATAGGTAGTTGTGGTCATCCGCTACTGGGGCAACCACTGCCAAAGGTCATCCGCAGTTGTTGGACCATCCGCTACTGTAGTCGGAGTCAACGTTGATGTCTAGTTCAGCCTTGTGCCCTTGCTGCTGTCTGTTCTGGCCTCTCCGTGTCCATGCTCTGTATGTCTGCCATTTCTCCAAAAGGCTTTCAAAGTTACCACCAAGATCTGCACCACCAGCTGATTCGCTCAGGCTCACGACAACAGTTGCATTACAACCCCTACTCCCTCCCGCACTCTGAAACTTAGTCGCGTCAGTGGTTGGGCATTGGCTAAAAGTCAAATTTCTAAGACTGGAGTACATCTATATTATGTTTAAGGAGTTGTTTACGCCATCAACATCTGGTGTTCGTCATTAGAATTTACTAAAATTCCTCATCTGTGCGGTGGTCCACTGCAAAAGAGCCGCTCATCACCCAAGAAGAACCAGCGCCAACCAAACCTGAAGTCGCAGAGCGGCTTTGTTGTGAGATGGGCACCCTGAAGCCCTTGTTGAGGAGGTGCAGTTGTCTAGCAACAAGTGGTCTGAAGAGCTTGCTGAGTGGCAAGTAGACCTTCACGATAAACTCCAGAGTGTAAAAGGCCAGGAAGAAGATGTTAAAAGCCTCTGGGCACGTGTCCGAGATCTCAGTCGCACTGAATGGCAAACCGCGGGACCTCAAGCCGTAGCTAAACACGAGCCTAGCCCTTTACAGCTGGAATAGAAATGAATGGAATCGGTGAGGCGTCACACCTAATCAACGGAAGACTGCAGCAGCAACCTTTCCAGAAAGGCTAGGAGGACTTGTGGGGTCCCTAGAATTCCAGGGCACCAAAAGTCCTCCATGTTTGTAATTAGTGCAAAAGAGAAGGTTGTAACAAGAAGCTACTAGGAACAAGTGCATCGCTTCTAGTAACAAGTGCCTTACTAGTAGTAACAAGAAGCTATTAGAAACACCACCCTTTGCCCACCGGTCGCCGACGCCACCGACCTTCCAGACCAAATGATCCTCTGCAATATCGCTGCTAAGTCCAAGAACCAAAGCATTCATCACCTCAGTTCTGCCAAAGGCTTCTTTGCCCTTCTGGGCTCTATTCCAGTTCACCTCTTCAGGGGCCTCAGAATTCCATCTTTTCTATCTATTATACATATCTTTTTGAAGTTCAACTAATAGAACTCTGGGAAGCCCTGACAATGACAATGCCGGGTACCACATCAGCCAGCAAGGCCATCCGGCCGGTCGGGCCTTTGATTGCATTCCCACCCTGGCCAAAGCAAGCAGAATGGCAGAATACCGAGATCATTTTGGAAATTCAACGGAAGCATTGTCACTTGGAAGTCTGACCTGGGTACTTGAAGGCCAAGACATCTAGCATGAAAAAACATCATCCAAGCATCCGAGATCTTGGTTCTTGATATGGAGGAGTAGCTAGATGGCTAAATGAAACCGAGTCAAGCCTGGTAAGGCTCTGGTGACTCAAATTCAAGCCAAGCCTGGTTCCAATGACCATCGTCCTTGTACAAGTTGTAGTTGTTCTCCATCTGAGGAAAGTGCTGACACGGAATCTTCAAAGGAGTTGCACTAGTGTCAGAGAGCCTTCTCACTGGATGGATAAGGAAGGTACACAATCAAATCGATCTCTAGTGAATGCCCGTGAGTGTCTGCACAGGTTTACGCAAGCATCTACTTGGGCCTTCAAAGCTTCCCTGAGGATCTTGCAGTCCCGCTTGATACCGCTCTTCCTGGGCGATCGGATTTTTGAGTGAATGAACATGTCAACGTCAGCAACGTGAGTCAACCCTCTAGCTGCTGGCCCTAGGCACAAAAGGGAGCCCTCGGAAAGCTGGTCATCTGACACAAGGGCCTTAGGACAACACAAGGCCCAAAGGCAGGAGACACCAGAGGGTTGGTGACCCTTTAAGTGAGGACCAAACAGCACCCACTAGGGGAAAATAACTCGAGTTTCAACCTCACTAACTTACCCACTTCTTCACACTCCTTACCCAGATAGGAGGTTGTGAACAGCAGAAAAGCAGTTCCGTCCTCCACCCGCCAAGTTGCGATGAATCCATCCAAGTCGATTGACTCGTGATGTCTGCGCAACAGCTGGGCTGTTCGTCTCTGCTAGGTCTAGTCTATGAGTTACTTCACTGCACATCAATTGTTGCTTGCCAAACCGTAAGCAAAAGAAGCAGCTGATGCACAGTGGGCTCTTCAGTGCCACAGTGAATCGCGTGAAAAGAAGCAAGTTCACCAGCGCGGTGCAGATGGCTTTCGAGCTGGCAAAGCTGTTTTGCTGTCTCTCCCTTCAGTCCTGCCCAAGTTTCTCGCACTTCCAGCATGCGTCAAGTGACCAGGAGATGTGATCTTGTCTGCCTTCCCCACATGCCTGTGCCAGGAAAGACACGAGGTCGGAGAAGTTTAGGACCAAATTTTGATGAGACAACATCTTCAATCATTTATTGCATATACAGTTATGTATATATACATGTGTGTATATATATATATATATGATATATGTATATGCACATGTAGTTCAATCTTCACACGTGCCGAAACCTCTGCATCCAGCAGGCTGTCAAAGGCAATTTTTCTAGGAGCTCGAGCCCGCTTCTCTCCACCCCTTTGGTCAAGGATTGAGTGAAACCCACGCAGATGATGCACCAATGTACACCAGCCACTGTGAAACTAAGAATGCTGCGCTTGCGTACTGCCAAATTCTTGGCCCTCCAAGCTCACCGCCGAATTTTCTCCGGCGAACGTACAGCAAGAGGATTGCACAAAGCGCATTGCTGGAGAAGACCAACAAATTGAACCATAAAGAACCTGCTTCAGGGTCTGTTTAGCCATCCCATCCCTCTACTAGCAAAGAGATCTTCACACATCATGACCTCTGCGAACCTAGCATTTCAAGTTTGCAAGCTGACGTGACATGACCCAGGCCTGCTGGTGTGATGAAGACTGCATTTTGCAGGCCATTAAAGTTTGTGATAGAGTCTCTGATCGCATAATATTTTCCGCCCACATCCAATCTGCTGAGCCACTCCTCGCGGGTACTGCCTTCACCCTGGCACTGCCAATAGATGGCTGCAATGGTCCAAGGCATCCCCAAACCAAGGAAGACATTCACCGAGTTGCTGCCCGTGACATTCCCTATCGAGGCATCTGCATAAGGATCCATGACAGCTGCCGTCTTCGATGCAAAGGTGTCTGGCAAAGAGGTGCCGAGAGCTACAAATGTGATTGCAGTGATCTCCGGCCCAATGTTCAAGGTGCAACCCACCAAATTCGCAAGGTCCCCCACCACTGCTGTCAACGCGGCAATCATGCCAAGTGCAACGAAAAAGCAAACCCATCCATTGCAGTAGTCGACTGGTGGAATAAAGGCAAAAAGGAGTTTCCAAGGCATGCCGATGAAGTGCATCACAATCCCTATCTTCGAAGGGCCACCATCCTCCTCTTCTTCTTCCTCTTCGTCATCATTTGACATGAAAATGGCATCTCGAAACTGTTCTTTCCAATGGGAGAATCCCAATGCATGCTTGTTCCAATTGATTTGACTCGCGATGCGGTCCAGAGCAGCTTTCCTCTCGTCTGCTGCCTTGATGACCACATGGCAAATGCAACTGGTGGCGCCGCCATCGGTGGATTTGTCGAAGGTGGCTCCTCAACAGTGCAAAGATGTTTTTGTTAATTGATCAGGAGCCACCAGACGACGAATTGATCAATAATTTAACTCGTAGCCGTTCATTGATTTATCAATTCATCGTTATCCATTCTTGAACATGATTATTTGTTTTTAAAAAAATGTATGAATATATAGGAACGTGTAAGGCACAGCAAAGCAGTATGAAAGCCTCGAAAGCATGTCACTCGATATTTCTCCTCCAGACGGTTCCACCAAATAAACGTTGAAGGAGGAGGTGTTCTCATAGCGGCCCTTCGGCTTAATGGTGATGTCAATGGTCGCCGTCTGTACCGTATGATCAAAGTAGAGTTGTCCTCAAGGAGTCGATCAGGGAGTCGATACGAAAGTTCCACTTCTCGAACTGCTAATAGCGATGGCCTCCAACCTAAGAGCGATGGCCCTGGCCTCCAACCTGCTAGCGATGGCCTCCAACCTAAGAGCGATGGCCCTGGCCTCCAACCTGCCAGCGATGGCCTCCAACCCAAGAGCGATGGCCCTGGCCTCCAACCTGCTAGCGATGGCCTCCAACCTAAAAGCGATGGCCCTGGCC